CTCAAAAAAAAAAAAAAAAGCAAAAACAAACAAACAAAATGGTATGTCTTCAAGAAAAGGTATGAATGTTCACAATAACTGGGTAAGGATTGAAAAGTGTTCCTCCGCTGGGCACAGTGGCTCATGACAGTAATCCCAACACTCTGGGAGGCTCAGGCGGGAGGATCGCTTGAGCCCAGGAGTTAGAGATCAACCTTGGCAACATAGTGAGACCCTGTCTCTACAAATAATTTAAAAAATTAGCCCAGGCAGCCGGGCACGGTGGCTCACGCCTGTAATCCCAGCACTTTGGAAGGCCGAGGCAGGCAGATCACGAGATCAGGAGTTCGAGACCAGCCTGACCAACATGGTGAAACCCCATCTCTACTAAAAACACAAAAAAAATGAGCCGGGTGTGGTGGTGCACGCCTATAATCCCAGCTAGTCAGGAGGCTGAGGCAGGAGAATTGCTTGAACCCGGGAGGTGGAGGTTATAGTGAGCAGAGATTGTGCCACTGCACTCCAGCCTGGGTGACAGAGCAAGACTCCATCTCAAAAAAAAAAAAAGGAAGAAAAAAAGAAAAAAAAAATAGCCCAGGCATTGTGGCGCGTCCTTGTAATCCCAACTACTCGGGAGGCTGAGGTGGGAGGGTTGCTTGAGCCCGGGAGTTCAAGGCTGCAGTGAACCATGATCAGACCACTGCACTCCTGCCTGGGCAACAGAGTAAGACCCTGTCTCCAAAAAAGGAAAAACAGAAAGAAAGAAAGAAAATTGTTCCTCATTAGATCAGGTCAGGTTTTGCAACCAAATAGTGTCTATCTTGTGGGAAAACCATCAGTTTCCAGAGCTTTTTGTTCTCCAGAGTTTTGGATAATGGATTGCGGACAGTGGAATAAACCTCTGAGCAGTGATAAGGATAAGACCCTGCCAGTGTAAAGGCTGTGTGAGAACAGAGATTGGTGAGCACTGAGTTGCTCAGAAATAGGGCAAGCATTGTTTCTAGTGTTAGAGCCCGAGGCCGGAAGCAGTGGCTCATGCCTGTAATCCTAGCACTTTGGGAGACCGAGGTGGGAGAATCACTTCAGCTCAGGAGTTTGAGACCAGCCTGGGCAACGTAGTGAGAGCTTGTCTCTATTTAAAAAAACATTTTTTGTAGTAGTGTTAGAGCCCAGAGAGCCCAAGGTCTGATTCTGTGTTCTGCAATCCCAAGGAAGTCCTAGCCCTAAATGTTGGCCTTCAGTTTCCTGGTTCTGAAGAGAGGGGCCAGTCAGCACAATTGTACATGAGGAATAGGAAAGTTTATTTCTGGGGGACAGGCAAGATGAATGAATGGCTCCTGGGGTGCAAGGCTGAGTGACATTTGTAGACACTTTGTTTGTATTTATTTTTTAGTAGAGACAAGGTCTCGCTATGTTGCTCAGGCTGGTCTTGAACTCCTGATCTCAAGCAATCCTCCTGCCTTGGCCTCCCAAAGTGTTGAGATTACAGGTGTGAACCACCGCACCTGGCTAAGTGTGTTATTTTGAGCAAGTAATTTCCCCCAGCTCAGCCTTAATTTCTGCATTTAAGACATGCATCTGGTCTCCTGGAATCAGGATCCCAGAGTTACCCTGAGGGACACACTCACCAGACTAGATGTTGTTTTTATTCTCATCTCATTTGATGTGGGGGAGAATCATAACTGGATGGCCAGGAGGATTCAACCCAAGGGCCTGCCTGCTCTCTCTGCCAACACAAGGCCCCTCAAAACTAAGGAAAGAGCTCCCCTCTTTCAGCCCCGCTTGCCTGAAGAGTGAGTGAATAGTGGAAGGGATGAAACATACTTTTCCCAGTGATAAGTATGTGCTTGCCAACTCTGCGAGGACACGTCTGAATTTCTGAAACAAGACAAACCTGGTTCCGCTTCAACGCCTTTGCACTTGCTATTCCCCCTGCTGTCAATGCCCTTCGCTCAGTGCTTCATATACCTGGCTTCTAGTCATTCAGGTTCCAGCTCAAGAGTTATGTTTTCAGAGGCCAGAAGCCCACCATCATCTCCCACAATATAACCTCCTTTTGCTAGCTTCATAGCTTCATGACTCTCACTTCTCTCTGAATTTATTTATTTATTTATTTATTTAATTTTTTTTTTTTTTGAGAAGGAGTTTCGCTCTTGTTGCCCAGGCTGGAGTGCAATGGCATGATCTCAGCTCACTGCAACCTCCATCTCCCGGGTTCAAGCGATTCTCCTGTCTCAGGCTCCTGAGTAGCTGGGATTACAGGCATGCGCCACCACACCCAGCTAATTTTGTATTTTTAGTAGAGACGGGGTTTCTCCATGTTGGTCAGGCTAGTCTTGAACTCCCAACCTCAGGTGATCCACCTGCCTCGGCCTCCCAAAGTGTTGGGATTACAGGCATGAGCCACATGCCTGGCCTTTTTTTTTTTCTTTTTTTTTTGAGATAAGGTCTCACTGCCATTCCAGCTAGAGTGGAGTGGTGCAATCATGGCTCACTGCAGCCTTGACCTCCCGGGCTCAAGTGATCCTCCCACCTCAGAGTCCCAAGTAGTTGGGACTACAGGCATGAGCCACCACTCCCAGATAATTTTTAAGCTTTTTGTAGAGACAAGGTCTCTCTACGTTGCCCAGGCTGGTATCAAACTCGTAGGCTCAAACAATCCACTCGCCTCAGCCTCCCAAAGTACTGGGATTACAGGCACAAACCACCATGTCTGGTTATTATTATTATTATTATTATTATTATTATTATTTGAGACAGATTCTCGCTCTGTCACCCAGGCTGGGGTGCAGTGGCGTGATCTTGACTCACTGCAACCTCCACCTCCTGGGTTCAAGCAATTCTCTGCCTCAGCCTCCCGAGTAGCTGGGATTACAAGCACCTGCCACCACACCCGGCTAATTTTTGTATTTTCAGTAGAGATGGTGTTTCACCATCTTGGCCAGGCTGCTCTTGAACTCTTGACCTTGTGATCCACCAGCCTTAGCCTCCCAAAGTGCTGGGATTACAGGTGTGAGCCACCACGACTGACCTGGTTTTTTAGTTATTCATTTTCTTGTCTTTTTTGTCTGACATCTGTCTACCCTCATTACATACATCAGCTACACAAAGACAAATTGTATGTCTTGTTCCTCCAGCATCTCCACAGTACCTAGCACAGTGCAATGTATACAGTTGGGTTTCAATGCAGGTGAAATTAAGAGGACAGACTTGGGAATCAGGCCTTGATTAAATCTTGCTTTGATCCTCCTCTCTCAAGCTATCTGCACTCCCTGGGCCTCACTTTCCTCCTCTGTGAAATGGACATATTCGGATTGTTGAGTAGATGTGCAACTATTGTAGATGAAAATAAATATTGCAATAGAGCCAGTAGCAGGGATAAAACTAAGTACATGGTGGCCGGGGTTACTATTATTAGTCTCTTGGGTGTGACTGTATTTATAGGACTGGGGCTCTTGAGCCCTATGCTAACTTCTGAAGAACCACATCTCCACCAGGCTCTAAGTCAGGGGTAGCTGGAAGCCACCCTGGCACACTTCCCCACAATGTCTATCTACAGCTCTAACCACTCAAGTGTTCACCTCTTCACTCTCCAGCTCGCAGCTTGTCTTCGCCGTTCCTCTTTCCTCTCCAAGGCCACCTGGACTCTCGCACTCGGATCCTTTAAATTATTTCTTCCTTCCCCGTCCCCTCCCCACAGGGGCGAAAGTTGCCTATTCCGTCAGACCACAGCTTCCCTCCTGGGGCGGGGGATGGGGCTGAGTGCTCAGGATGTGGTGACAGCGGAGGTGACTGGACATTTCTGTCCTCTGCCAGTGCCTTCCTTGCGGCTACCCCGGTTGGAGTCCCGCTGGCCATATAAGCCCTGGCTGCGGGGCTCTGTTCGCAGGGTGAAGGAAACTCTGGGCCTCTCCCGTGCGGGGAACGCCCAGTATGTGGCGAGTGCACACAAGCCCGGCTGCAGTTCTTCACCATGTACGGAAAATGGGGGCACGGCCCAAAGGTTCTAACAACCTTTTTTAGCCCGGCCCGCCCAGGGGCGCTGACTCACACCTTCCCCGCTCCGCCCCAAAGGGGGATCCAGGGCCCCAGCCGATGCCCGGAGAGTGGTAGCCTATGTGCCAGCAAAAGCTGGCAGACTAGGCCGGAAATGGGAGACCAGAGGTCCCTGGCGAAGGAAGCCGCCCTGCTTCTAGGCTTCTAGCCTTGCTATCCCGACGTCAGTTGAGGGTCTGGATGATTCCGAGACAGGACTGTGGATACATTGGTGCAGTCCCGCCACGACAGGCTCACCTCTGCATTCTCCATGCCATGCAGAATAATTTATGTGTGAGACCCTGTACACCTCCAAAAAGGTGAAATTGATGAATAAGGAGAGGAGCAGGAGACGGGGAAGAGAAAAACAAACCACGCCAGGCTGAGGACCAGCGGAAGCAAAGATCCATGTGCAAGCAGGAAAGCAGCAGCATGAAGCTAGTTAGCGATTACTCGAAGCAGGATCAACCCACCTGCTCCTTTACAGAGTGGCCTGGGCAGCCCCACCCCGCCTCGAGCGCCTGGCAAGTCAAGACCAGATCGAACCATTTTATTACCTCTCCCTCCCAGAACCAGAAGCGCAGGCTAGCCGGGCTGGAAGGGTCGTACCACTGACGCTGCAAGGGGAGTGCGGGCAGAGCCACTGCGCAACGGGAGGGGGGACCAGACCAAGTGGAAGCTCTCGGGGAAGTGCCAAGTGCCCGGCGGCCACACGCGCCAGATCCAGGTTGGGCGGTAACTAGTGAGCCCCGCGCCGTCAGAGGTAGGCTCAGTGCCTCCGCCTTCCGGCTGCCATCTCCTGAGCGAGCTGCGCTGTCCCCCGGACCCCTAGGGCCCGCGAGAGCCGTTCCTCGCTGGGCACTAGCCAGGGCCCCGGGGAACCCGGGATCTGGTCGTTGGGATCCTCAGTGCAGCGCTCAGGAGGAGAAACCGTGGGGCCATCGGCGACCGCCTCTGGACTAGGCTCTGGGCTGCCCCGGGTCTTCTTGAGCGTCGTCCGGGATGGAGGGTGCTGAACTGGGGAAGTGCTGCTGCTGCTGCGACACCCCGTTACCTCCGGCCCTCCAGGATCTGGGCTGCGATCTAGCCATGACGGGACTACGGATTAGACTGGGTGGTGAAGTAGGGAAAGGAAATCCGGGCCTTTGGCGGAGGGTGGACAGGAGAACCCAAAGGCTGCGGGAGATGAGACCCTGGCCCTTAGAGAAATCTCCCCTCGAGGCCTTCTGGGATCGGCACCACCCCTCACAACGCCGACACCTCCTTTCCCGAGACCCCTCCCCTCCTGGATCCAGAACATGCCCCTCAGAAATCATTTCCCACAATCTCCAAAGGAAATCAAACGCCTCTCATCTAGGATCCCTTGCTCTCTCCTCTCTCATCCCACCTCCGTTGACTCCCAAACCACCAACCCTTTGTTTTTCAGAACTAGACCCCCTACCCTCTGGATCCCCATCCAGTTTCCCCCCCCTACCTAGTGGATCAGAACGCTAAGATCCATTCTGCCTTCCCCTCTGAGAACTAAGACCCTTCCTTCCAAACACTTGCTTTTATCCTAGACCCCTTTCCTTCTCTCTCCCCAGTACCTGGAAAGCCCACCCTCTGAAATTCCTATCCTTGGGACTGACACCCCTCCCTGCCCCTGCTTTATTCCTATCCTGGGACCCTGTGCCCCTCCCTGCCCTTACTTGTGAGAATACCATGACCTCTTGCAGACCCTCCCCAAAGAGATCACCAAACCCTTCCCACCCAGAATCTCAGCCTCTCCACTCTGTGAACCTCTCTCTTCTCCTCACTGATCTCTGACTTCTCTCCCCTGGGAAACCCACCAACTCCTTTTTGGGGCTCTCCCACCCCTCGAGACTTGCCAGGGTGGGTCTCCAGAGGCCGACGAAGAACCAGGTGGAGCTGGGGGCCTCCAGCTCGGATCCGATCCACGGCCTGGGCATGGGTGAGGCCCTGCGTTGACTCTCCGTTGATGTGGAGTACAAGGTCCCCGACCTGGAAGAGTGCAACGCAGTCGTGTTGGAAAAGCAAAAGGAGAGCACCCAAACAAAGGCAGGGATAGCACCTACCAATGGAAGAGTCTTCAGGGCTCACCTCCAAACGACCACAGCGCTGTGCTGGACCATCCTTCAGCAGCCCGCGCACGGCCAGTGGAGTGTCCCCGGAAACATCCCGGCCCCCACCTAAGGTGAGGCCAAAGCCTGCGTAACCGCGGACCAGCTCCACAGAGAAATGATCAGAGGCCTGGGATGGCTTCGGAGCACTACGTGCCTGGATCACTTGAGGAGGCGCATTACGTGTCTCTAACCAACGGTGCTGGAATAAAGGACACTGGTGTACATAGTTTGCCCTGAGGCAGGTTGCCTCCAATAGAAGGATAAGATGTTACCTGGGGCCGGTGATCCACAATAGTGGCATGAGGCAGGCGACTATCTGTGACCTCTATGTCCGCAGAGTCCAGCACGCTAACAACTGGGGGATAAAAGCGGTGGAGAGGGCTGTCGGGGGACATGCCATGGAAACTACCTAGGACCTGTTCCCTGAGTTAACATTCTAGCCCCATCTACTTGCCTCGCCCCTGCAGCTCATATACAAACTGGCCCACCATTTAACTACGCACCATCCCCTCAAGTAATCTTAAAGGCTCTCAGCCCAAACAAATAACTGTTCTGACCCCACCTTCTTAACAAACAATCCTGGGCTCAGCCATGTGAATAATCTTCCAGGCCTTCCTATCTCCCTCTAACAACACGCAGAACACATCCCTCAAGTAACACCATTCGGCCCACCCTGGAGAATGCTACTCCAAAATTCGGCTCCTGAACCTTCCATAGCAAGCCCTCTAATTAGCCTCTAACCCACATCCCGTTCCCGACATCTCAAGCCCCGCCCCCATGGCACAATAGGCGCCACCCCCGTGACTCACATTTCAGGCCTGCCCCTTCGCTGCGTCCCCACCCCTCAAGCACTCTCTAGGCCCCGCCTCCCCATAAAGGACCCTCGAAGCCCCGCCGGCCAGAACGGGGATCCACCTCCGCACTCTCAACTAATGCAGCCCTTGCCTACTGTGATAACCCTCAAGGAATATTCTAGAATAACCCCAAGGCTCCTCCCACTCGAAGCACCCTCCTATCCCCGCCCCCCAAATCGCGCCCCTTGGCCCCACCCAAGGCAGGCAGTAGTTGCTGACCGCCCAGGCCTGCCCCTCTGAACCCAGCTCCTCTCCGAACCCTCCCCCAGCGGAGGCTCAGCGCCCTTCACGCACCCTCCTTCCGGCGCAGGCGCAATGTGGCGCCCGCCCTGCGTACCAGCGCCGCCACATCTACCGCAGCTCGCGCCGCCAGGGGGCGCGCGTCCAGCCGCGCCAGGAGCTGCCGGGCGCTGGGGCCGGCGAGCCGGGAGGGGCCGCGGCCTGCGCGGGAGAGGGGACAGGTCAACGCCGACCCTCGGCCTCGGCCAACCCCCACGCTTCCGGACGCCCGAAGACCTAGAAATGCCCTCAGGATACCCGGCGACCCCTGACCACTCCCTCGTTAGTTCCGGAGGTCACTGCTGTCCCTCCCTTCTCACGCGATCCCCTACCATCGCGGGTAGCCGGTGCACCCCCGCCTGCTCCCACGGTGTCCCTGGAGATCGCTGTTTGACTGCAACAGTCCTGGACTCCTCCGAACACCATGTGAGGTCCTCGACTGCCCCCAATCACCCTGGATGCCCAACTCCTCGCCCACGATATCTCAGGGGACCCCGTTTCCCCAGATATCCTGGGAGAACACGGCCTGACCCCGTAGCCCCGGAACCCCCAATTCTCCCTCTAAGTATCCTAGGCGACCCCTGCTACCCCCATGAATTCCCTCAGAGGGCCCGTTCCCCCATGGCCCACGTACCTCCAGAGTCCCCTCCACAGGTCCCCAGGGGACCCCAGTTCCCCTCCTCCCAGTTCACTACAGACCCTGAGTGCCCAGGTGTCCCCAGTGACCACGGGCAGACCCCTCCCCGCACATCTGCACATCTCCCTGGAGACTTCTGAGATCCCCTCCCCTGCTCTGGTGCGGGGCCCTTTCGCTCAGGTGTGCGTGTGGGTGGGGGACCTCGAGCCCAGCCTCCATCGCTGGGCCCCTTCCCCCTGCCACCGCCACTTAGGCGCCAGAGCCGCTCTGTTTACCACCTGTCAGAAGGAAAAGGTGTGGAGCAGACAGGCGGGAAGAGGTGGCGGCGACTCGCCCTGTCCTTCCCCAACACCTCTGATCCTTGTACCTCCTCTGCTGCCCCTAGGGTCCGCGGCGTCCCCTGTGCGCGGCTCCATGGCCAGTAGTCCGCTGGGTGGACACAGGGCAGCCAGCTACGAATTTTGAGCTCTGGGGCGCGCTCACCTGGCGGCCCGCCCAGGCCCTGGAGGCTGAGGCTGGCAGGTCCCGTGCCTGGCTCCTGGACCCGTGCGATGACCTACCTGGCGGCCAGCAAGGAGGCCTGGCTGTGGGAGCCAGCAGGAGTGCTTGGCCTCACTCTGCTGCAGGCACCGCACTCTGTCAGCTGAAGGTCCTAGTTAGAATTTAAAAGCCTGACTATACCAACTGTTGCTGAAGATATGAAGGAAATGGAACTCCTATACCGCCGGTGGAAATGTAAAATGATATTGCAACTTTATTTATTTATTTAGAGACGGGGTTTCGCTCTTGTTGCCCAGGCTGGAGTGCAATGGCGCGACCTCGGCTCACTGCAACCTCTGCCTCCAGGGTTCAAGTGATTCTCCTACCTCAGCCTCCTGAGTAACCGGGATTACAGGCAGGCACCACTACGCCCCCCTAATTTTGTATTTTTAGTACAGAGGGGTTTTCTCCATGTTGGTCAGGATCGTCTCGAACTCCCCAAAGTGCTGGGATTACAGGCAAGGCCCGCCTTGGCCTTCCAAAGTGCTGGGATTACAGGCGTGAGCCACTGCGCCCAGCCTGCAACTTTAGAAAACAGTTTGGTGGTGTCTTTAAAAATTAAGCATACACATATGAGCCAGCCATTCCACTCCTGCGCATTTATCTAAAAGAAAGCATACGTTTACATAGCCTTGTCTTACAAATATTCATAGCACCTTTATTTCTTGTCTTATTCATTTAGAACTACTGTAACAAAATATCATAGACTGGGTGGTTTAAACGACATAAGTTTCTCACAGTTCTGGAAGCTGGAAAGTCCAAGATCAAGGTGGTAGCTAATTTGTTTCCTGTTGAGGTCTCTCCTTTTGGCTTGCAGATGCTTGCCTTCTTGCTGTGTCCTCACATGGAATTAAGAGAGTGAAGGAGAGTAAAGGCATGAGAGAGACACACACAGAGAGAGGCAGAGATCTCTCTCTTCTGTTTCTTACAAGGCCACAGTCCTATCTGATTAGGGCTCCACCTTAATGACCTCATTTTACCTTAATTGCCTCCTAAAGAAGCTATGTTCAGATACAGTCACATTGGAGGTTAGGGCTTTAACATATATTTATTTATGGCTGGGCGCAGTGGCTCACGCCTGTAATCCCAGCACCTTGGGAGGCTGAGGCGGGTGAATCACCTGAGTTCAGGAGTTCAAGACCAGCCTGGCCAACATAGTGAAACCCCATCTCTACTAAAATATACAAAAATTAGCCGGGCATGGTGTCAGGTGACTTAATCCCAGCTACTTGGGAGGCAGAGGCAGGAGAATCATTTGAACCCGGGAAGCAGAGGTTGCAGTGAGCCGAGATCGAGCCATTGCACTCAAACCTGGGGAATAAGAGTGAGACTTCTCTCAAAAAAACAAAACAACAACAAAATATATATACATATTTATGGGTGGACACAATTCAGTTCATAATATTTGTTAATATCCAAAAACTGGAAATAACCCAAATGCCCATTAATAGTTAAATGAGGCCAGTAATTGCAGCACTTTGGGAGGCTGAGGTGGGAGGATCTCTTGAGCTCAGGAGTTGGAGACCAGCCTTGGCAACATAGTGAACCACTGTCTCTATTTTAAAAACGTAGAAACATTGTCTCTATTTTTAAAATGCTAATGCCTGTAATCCCAGCACTTTGGGAGGCTGGAGGTGGAGGCAGGAGATTGTTTCAGCCCAAGAGTTCAAGACCAGCCTGGGCAACATAGTGAGACCCCATCTCTTAAAAAGAAAACAATTTTCAATGAAAAAAGTAGGTGAATAAGTTAACAAACTATGGTATACTCATACAGGGGAATACAACTCAGCAATAAAAAACAATGAAGGATTTGGATGGATCTCAAAAATAATTATGGTAAAAGAAGCCAGACCCACCCTCCAAAAAAGCACATGCTATATGATTTCATTTATATAAAAATCTAATAAAATGCAAACTGATATACAGTGACAGAAAGTGGATTAGTGGTTGCCTGGAGGGAGGGGGCCAAAAGGGCAGGAAAGAGGAAATACAAAGGGCAGGAGAAAACTTTTGGCAGAGATAGTTATACTCAGTATTTCTTTTCTTTCTTTCTTTTTTTTTTTTAAGTGACAGGGTCACATTCTGACATGCAGGCTGGATTGCAGGCAAATCATAGCTCATTGTAACTTCAAACTCCTGGGCTCAAGGGATCCTCCTGAACAGATAGGACTACACGTATGTGCCACAATGCCTGGCAAATTTTTTACATTTTTGTAGAGACTGGGGCAGGGGGATCTCACTATGTTGTCCAGGCTGGTCTTAAACTCCTGGCTTCAAAAAGTCCTCCCACCTCTGTCTCCCAATGTGCTGGGATTACAGAGGTGAGCCACCACACCCAGCCTGTTCAGTATCTTCACTGTAGTGATTGTTTCACTGATATAAACATATTCAAAACCTATCAAATTGAAGTCAATTATATCTCAACCCCTTAAAACTTAAAATAGCTGGGTGTCGTGGCATGCACCTGTAGTCCCAGCTACTTGGGAGACTGAGACAGGAGGATCACTTAAGCCCAAGACTTCAAGATTACAATGAGCTATGATCATGCCACTGCACTCGACTCTCAGTGACAGAGCAAGACCCTGTCTTTTAAAAAATCAAATATAAATTCTGAAAACAGGCTGGGCATGATGACTCACGCCTGTAATTTCAGCACTTTGGGAGGCCAAGGTGAGAAGATCACTAAGGCCAGAATTTTGAGACCAGCCTAGCCAATGTAGCAAGACTTCGTCTCTAATAAATAAATAAATACAATATTTTGTTAAATTAATGAATTGGGTGGGACTGTGAGAGAAATTAACTTAATCCTTGAATGACGTGAGGCTAAAAGGGGTAATTGGGTTTTTTAAAAATGATGCTGATAATTATTATTATTTTTGAGGTGGAGTTTCGCTCTGTCACCCAGGCTGGAGTGCAGTGGTGCGATCTCAGCTCACTACAACCTCCATCTCCTGGGTTCAAGCAATTCTCATGCTTCAGCCTCCCGAGTAGCTGGGACTAAAGGCACCCACCACCACGCCCGGCTAATTTCTGTAGTTTTGGTAGAGACAGGCTTTCATCATGTTGGCCAGGCTGGTCTCAAACTCCGTCCACCTCCGCCTCCCAAGGTGCTGGGATTACAGGCGTGACCCACTGCGCCCAGCTGGGTAATTGGGTTGTATTCATAAATGGACGAGGCTAAGAGGGGCATTGGTTTGAATCCACAGTGGGGCAGGGCTAAGTGAGGGTTTGCTCTCCCATAGTGTGATTGTAATCAACATTAAAGATAAGCACCTCCACTGCTACCAAATAGCTTGACTAGGCACAACACCAGCAATTTGGAAGCTTTGTTCCGAACTCTCTTGACAATCTTACCATGCATATCTCATCACCCCCACTTCCCAGAAGGGTACATTGAGGTGTCAGACAATGCAGTGGCTGGAGTTCCTCCCTCATGTCTGCATCCTCTCTACACCCCCAACCCTGCCAGCAGCCTTGGTGACACATGCACTACTCTCTCCGCCCCAGTCCTTGCCCCTGCCCCTGGAATTTCCGCCCTGCTGGTGTCAGCTCTCTCAGTGAACACCTATCCAGCATCCTGAGCCCCCACCCCTGTAATTCACGTCCCCTGAGGACATCCTTGGATCCCTTCATTCCTTCATGATTCCTCAAGCCTGAATACCTCCAAGCCTGAAAGCAGTTTCCCATCCCCAGACCTTTGAGTCTCCCATCCAGTTGGCAAGCTCCCTGATCGATGTTAGTAGATTCTGCCTGGTGCTTGGATGCCTCCCCTCACCATCCATCTGTCCTCAGCCCTTGGACAATGCCCCAGTCTGCAAGACCCTCCCATTCATGGAGCTACAGAGCCTCAAGTTCTCCTTCACAGTGTGTAAGCACCTCACTCTCACATCCACAGGTTCTTAAAACCTGGAGCCCCAGATTGGAAGCTGCCCTCTCCAGATTCAGGTGTGGAAGTCTCAACAAGAACTAGGAGGAGTAGTGAAGGAGGTCCAGGGTGTCCCCCATTAGAAAAGGTCAGGTCAGAGGTGAAAGAGGCAGGGGACTGCAGGTGGAATGAAAGCAGTAACTGTTCAGCCCCTTTCGCCTACGAGGATACTGGGCCTCTGAAAGGTGAACCAGAGAGGCTGCACAACCAGCCAGAATGGACATTAGGACACAGTGTATCCACAGCCCATAGTGAAATAGTCACTGACCAAGTGTGTGTTATAGGTAAGCTGCCTGAAACTGGTGTTGGCTTGCTGCAGGGACCTGGGCAGGTCCCTGAGCCTCTCAGACCTTACATTTCTTATTTGGCAAAGTAGTGGTGAAAGGCCCTCTCTCACTGCAATCCCATTCCTCCTTCCACTACAGTCACACTGTGTCCGCATGCTCCCTGCTTAGGGCTTATGTCTCCAGACACTCCCCTTTCCAGACACAGAAGAGGCCTCGTTCCTCCACTGACATCGGCTAGTGTCCTATCTAACTCCAATGCATTCATTCAGAGCCTCCTTGATTTTGGGTTCCACCTCTCATTCACTCTCCAAGGGACCTGCTCTCTGCAATTTTTCTTTCTTTCTTCCTTCCTTCCTTTCTTTCTTTCTTTCTTTCTTTCTTTCTTTCTTTCTTTCTTTCTTTCTTTCTTTCTTTCTTTCTTTCTTTCTTTCTTTCTTTCTTTCTTTCTTTCTTTCTTTTTTGAGAGGGAGTCTTGCTCTGTCACCCAAGTTGGAGTGCAGTGGATCTACCTCAGTTCACTGCAACCTCCACCTCCCAGGTTCAAGCGATTCTCCTGCCTCAGCCTCCCGAGTAGCTAGGATTACAGGCACCCACTACCATGCCCAGCTAATTTTTATAATCTTAGTAGAGATGGGGTTTTGCCATGTTGGCCAGGCTGGTCTCAAACTCCTGGCCTCAAGTGATCCGCCTGCCTTGGCCTCCCAAAGTGTG